CGAATTGAAAGCACAACTTTTCAAGTAGTATAATATTTTTCTAAGCAATATCTTATCTTATTAGATGAAATTAGCCTCTAAATATTATCCACTAGAATATAAATAACAAAGTTTGGAAGTAAAATCCTAAAATAATATTTTAAAACATCAACAATTATATGTATACGAATACATCGTCCAAATTTACCAAAAGCTCTGTCCTTGAGATGTCACTTGGTTTATATTGCACCGTTGTTACTTCCCCTATTTATCTGCACAATTCACACGCGCCGAACCCTTCTCATTGAACAAATCTTAACCCAAAACCCGAAAAAGTGCAGAAAAATATTCAAAATAAATAAACAAGAAGCATTAATGAACGGCGAAAAATGTGCATGGCATGCAAATTTATTTGGCGCATTAATAAACGCAATGCGAAAAACGAGAACGGACAATCGGCGGACAAAATCCAGAGCCACATAAACAGGATATGGGAGATGGGAACTACGGCCGTCGAAATGCGAAATGCGAGTAATTATGTATGTTTGTGAGTATTATAATTAACATTTCTGGGAAAACTCGAATGCGTTGAGCAGGACAAAAGACGAAATCCCAAAAAAGATAAAAAGCCAGACAGGCGGACAGATGGACGGATGGAAGGACGAACCTTGTGGACCGAGAGGTATGTAAGTGAGGATAGGGATTTTGCGCCTTGGCTCACACACACCACACACACTCAACACACACATTATAAATGAGCCGAGCTGTCCGCATCCTTTGGTGTTGTTGTTCTACTGGTTTTGCCAGATTATGTGCGGATTTTTGCACAAGCCAAAGGCAGCCAAACAAAATAATCATAATGAACGGCATACATGCACTGTGGAAGTAGACGTACTCCATTAAATATCATGGCAAAATTTCAAAGAAATTAATAAAAACCCTAAACATAATATTAAGTGATTCTTGGATTAAAAAAGAGTATATTTTTATACAAATCATGCTGACACCTGACATTATTAATAAAGCCATACAAATTTTTAACTCACTGAAGCGGAAATCTTTAGATAATCTTCTGCACTTATAAAATGGGTTTCAGAATATTTCGGATTTCAAATAATTTTAATAATCAAATTCTCTGAACTTAAAAAAAATAGCGAAACTTTATCCTTAATCTAGGAGGCTCTTTTTTCGCTCACTGTATATCCAGACATTGGGCTGTACTCATATATACATGTGAGAACTCCAAGTAGTTGGCCACAGACACCGCCAAAAAAAAATACAAAAAAATCAGCACACAAAGCTGAAATTCAAAAGAAAAACAAGAACGGACCGCATCTCGATCCTTGGCTAGCAGCGGGTTCCGCCACTTCTCCTGTGGAAACCCCCTGTACCTCATCACCTTTCTCAGGTGAGAAGATTTTCTCTCTTTCTACCCGTAAGGCAGCATTCCTGTCCGCTCAGGCCAAAACTTTGGGGGGAAGAGGACAATCAACTCACAAACAACTCGCAAAAACAGCAACAACCATAACGACAACAACAACGGTTCAACAACAGCAAAACGAACAACAAATACAATAAAATCAACAATATATACCAACAATACAACAACAGCACAACAACAACTTAAAAAAAACACTCTTACAATAACAGCAACAACATGCCAATAATAAACAATACAACAATATGCAAAAACAACTTCACCAACAACAACAACTACACCAGCAACAACAACCATAAGTAGAAAATCCCATTCTGAATTCTGGACAACTCGTGGCTAACTCAAAGCGCTTGCGCCTATTTAATTTGGCTGCCGCCAACATTTTCGAAGCTCCCACAGATTCCAGATTCCTCCTGCCTCCAATCTCTCCTTCACTCCGCCCCTGAAATCCCCTCCTCACTAGTTGTCTTGGCATCTTGTTAACGATCATGGCAACAGGATTCTGCTATTTTGTCGCTGCTGCCCTGCGCCACACACTAAAAGGTAAAAAGGAAACAAAAAGTTAAGAAAAGCAAGCCAAAACGGCAAGAATGCTGATGGAGGCAGGTCTCTACAGGATGGGAATGGCGGTTACCCTGGAAAAACAGGTCAATCAAACCGTAAAAGTCTCAGAATATGAACTTTTAGAGAAATAAGCCAAGATTATTGCAAAGAAAAATGTTTAAACAATGTTTTAAAAGGGCCTAAACTAAAAACAGAGTGTAATTCCAAAGCACTGCAAATTCAATGTAACCGTTAAAGTCAAGATCATTTGCAAACCTATGTATTAAAGGATTGGGCTCACAAAGCCCTATAAAAAAAGTTAAAACATAGGTTTTGATGCAGATTACAGAAATTAAATTGGGTTGTAAATAGTCAAGTTTACAAATATAAAATATAAAATTGGAAAGCAGATTTGAAGTGAATTTTACAAAATAAATTTTAACCTGTAAACTAATTTTTGTTTCTATTAAAAAAATAATTTTGTACGAATCTTGCACACGTCTTAAGGCAAATTAAAGCAATGCTTCAGACAGAACACAAATTAACTTAAGAAAATGAATTTATTATTTTGAAAGAACAAAACTTCGGTTATTAAATTGTTAAAATATGAAAAGATAGCTCTGCTCCTTTGCTCCAGCTCAGGTTATCCTTGCTGGTCAAAAGCAATGGGTATGATGGCTGGAAAAAAAAATTATGCACATTCCGGAGGCAGCCACACATCCACAGGCACGACCTCATCCACATCCACATCCACATCGATGTTCCGATCAGCGGCATCCCAAAAAGAAATGTGCCCAACACACGCACCACCAAACACACGCATACACTTGGCGAAAATCGCAGGGACAACGAGGTTGGCGAGCAAAAAGAATAACTAAATGCAAGTCCACTGGAGATCCCTGCCCCCTTTTCCGGGTGGAATCCCCTTCTTTCGTCGACGAGCTTCGGTTGTTTACTCCGGCACCACCCAAGAGTGCTACAATGTTGTGCTCTTGGAATTTGGCTTTCTCCTGTCGCCGGCTTTATTAGCCAAGTCTGCACTCGCACAGAGACACTGCCTGGCAGTCGAGCACTTGAAGACCGAACTCATACTACCACGCGTCTGGCCCACTCACCACTCACCACTCACCACTTACCACCCACCGCCCCCTCGCGATACAACTCTTGCACCGAAATTCCACAAAGAATCTTAAGTGTACACAATATGAATGTCTGGGTCTGGGGCATTCTGCAAACTGCAAACTGCGAACTGCAACGCCAACAGAGGCAGAGGCAGCAAAGTCCACCGGAGACCAAGACGAAGACGAAGACGAAGACGAAGTCGCAGTCGAAGAAGCCTCGGTGACTTTCGGATCCGGATACGAGAGCCTGGGCCTCCAGAGGTGCCCACTTGGGACCACTGAAAAAAGCTAGATAAAAAGTTGTAATCCTAAAACCTAAGAAAAATATAATAATAGCTAAAAGCTTTATCAAATGTAAAATCCTTTCTTGGAAAGAAACAAAGAACGCACTCTTCCTAACTTCCCAAAAATTTAAATGTTTGCAGAACCAATCTAACCAATTATTTTTGGTATACCACCTATAAATCAACCAGAACTGGAACTTATTTATCAAAATGGCGAGATATATATAAAGTCAAACATTAATGACCAGAATTTTCGTAACTCTAAGTTTATATTAATGCTGTTAACTTCCGTAACTCGAATTAATTTGGTTTTAGATTCTATGGAAGTTCGACAAATAGATATCACCTATTATATATTTGAAAATTAACAATGAAATTTAAAAAAAAATTTGTTCGTAAAAGAAGATGAACTGCATGCATATACTAAACATCATAAGCTTTAACTCATTCTTTCTTTGTAAAGTTAATGGGTGATTATACCATAAGTGGCAAATTTGCAAAACAATCGTTTTCTCTCAAAATATCGAAAAGAATATTTAAACAAATGTTTTCGGTCTATTTTAAGAAGTGGACCAGCAAGATCATCTCCATTTATAGCAGTTGAAAAATGTAATTTATTGGTAAACATTTGTTTGAAGATGTGTATTTTAGTTTGCGATGTGGAGAAAAAATCCATTTTTGGGTTAGCTGAATCTATTTTTAATATACTTTATATTTACTCGAAGTGTGTGTAATATTTGCAAAGGTATTTTGTACTCCAACTGGGAAACTTGGAATCCTAAGGATAAATAGAAAAACCTAAGCCCCTCAAAATAAGCCAGACTTGATAGCCAGGCTATCAGCACCGCTGCAGAGCCACGAAAACCTGGACGTTCGAGACGTAAACACCGCCAGTGGGCGAGGGCGCAGGGGAATAGGGGGCGGGGCAGGGAGTCAGAGATCGGCATCGTATCTTGAAATGAAATGCAAAGAAAAGAAAATAACAAAAACAAAGTTTCTCACGTTCCTCTTCCTAAATTCTTGGAATTGCAATACATTAAAAAGAGGTCTTTGCTTCGTCTGCATACACATGCACTTTTGGGGTGCGTGTGCTGAGTGTGTGGAGGTGTGTCCGTGTTTGTGTGCGAGTGTGTGTGTAAGCGGATGGACAAACGGACAAACGGACAGCAGTTTTGAGCCGTGCTACAAGCGAACGCCGCCACCGCCCGTTCAACATATTCCTTTTTCTCATCGATTTTGAGACCTATAAGTGAATGTGTCGATTGAGTGCACTGCAAGAAAAGAAGAAAAATGTTATCTATTATATTCCTTAGTAGATTACATAATTATGATGAGGATGTTTAATTCGTCTGCTTGATTAATATATTCCCAAAATAGTTAAATTCCCTATAGACCTTAAATTTGTTTTCCAAAAATAAATTAATTTAACATAAGCTTTTGCAAATGACCCAAGGGTCCTTTACAAACTTTATTATTTTAAACTTTTTTACAGAAACGAAATCATATTTTATATAAACACTATTACCTGATTACTTAAAGATATCGTTACCTGACTACTTAACTACTACTCCAATTGATTGATGATTAAGAAAATTTTTTCACTTAATGATTCATGATAACCAGCTATAACTCCATCAAGCTTTGAAATTTAACCATTGACACAACAAAATATTTTGGTATAAGTACTTCTACTCCATTACTGTAGCTATTGTAATTCAATCACTTTAAAATGTATCAACATACTGAGTCTAATATTTGAATCCCACAATTAAGGTAATTTCTTTCCCTGATAGCTCTGATATATATATTTTTTTTTTGCAATGCTGACCTGCCCCGTTTACTGTTTCAGTGTAATGATGCATTATGCTGCTGCTGAGATTCCGCGTGTTGCTGTTGTTGGCCGATGATGTTGCCGTAGTTGCTTTTGCTGTTGCTGCTACTTTGGCAATATGTTTTCGTATTTCTCCCGCCGTTCTTGACTTTGGTTTTGTTTTTGGACTGCGTTTGGGCGGCCGCCCAGTAGAAGGAGGTACGATGATGATGGGGAGTTCAGATGGGTATGGCTTTTTTTTTTTTTTGGTGGGGGGAGGGAAACTGCAGGCAGGCGGGAAGAGGGGGTGCTACACAGTACAGACCCAGGCCCATAATGAAAGTCGTCTCCATCGTCGTCTGCATCGTCGGCGGTTTGATCAAATGAATGAATATTATCATCGATGCCTCTTGAATGTTGAACGAGCTGACTTGATGACCGTGCACCGGAGCGAGGCTCGTAAAGAATTCTTTTTTGTTGTTCTCCCAGTCTTCGCTCCTCCTGTTGTTGTATTGTTGTATTGTTGCACCCAGCAAAATGGTGTGTGTGTGTGTAGTGTGGTGTGTGGTGTAGGTTGTTTGATCTAATTGGTTCATCGAACCAAGTATCGCAGAGCCTCTCGATCTCGCCTGCCATCTCCGTATCCAGGATTATGATGTTGGAAGCCCATTTTAGCCTTGCCAATTTCGCGAACAATCATAGGCCTGGACATAAAAAAACGCTGAGTTACCACAACAACGGGGCGGAGGTAAAAGGGGTTAACACTTCAAATAAACAAAAAAATTGTCCTTTAAATGTGAACTTTTTTTTTTAATTTTTGCTTCACTAAGAATTGTCTTTCTATGTTCTTTTTTCTATATCTTTACAAAAAAAAAAAAGTATATTTTTCAATATAATGCATACTTGAATTGCTTTATGAAATGTTACAATTATCTTGGCTTAGTTTATTTTATTAATGTCATTAAAGCAATGTAAAAATCAAAAAGTTGTTAATTTATTTAATCAAATAAAATATATATATTTTATACATTTACATAAGAATTATTAAATAGTTTTGGTTCTTTCAATTTTATAAATGTCATTAAAGCAAAGTGGCATCAATAAGCTCGATAAGTATTTGCCAAATTGGAACAATGTATTTCATGCATTTACTTAAATTTCTGCAATTTTAAAATGATAAACAATATTTACTCTCTTAAAAATATTACTTTGATTGCCTTAAAAACATTTTACAAATATTACTTAAATATAAATATTAATCTAATAGTCTGTCAAAAAATGCAGCTTCCGGTCATGTTCTTGTTTTGCTTGCTAATACATAAATGCGGTTTGGTGTTTGTTAATAACCTTTTAAAAAATGCATTCCGAGTGCATTTTCCGGAATGCATGCCCTATTTTCTTCGAGTGAAGGGACCGGCGACATGAACAAATACAGCAGTTGGTTATTTAACAAGAGTCAAAGTCGAAATTCCAGGAATTTAGGTTCTTCTTGAATTTTTCGAGCGGCGGCGGAGGAGGAGGAAAGGGCACGCGGGGGGGTCATAATTAAGTGGCCCTAAATGCCGCTAAAGGAATTTCTCGCAGGCGACATTATTATCAGTGTTTTCGGTACCCTCTTTTAGGAATCCAAACTGATAGGCCACAAATTTATATTCTTCTCCGCCACGACCGATCGGCATCGTTTCATTATTGACTTGGCATTGATCGCTTTTCAAAGAATGGAATGTGCATGTTGGACAAACGAGGGACAATGGCTCGACGTTGGATTTATGTGTGTGATTCGATTCGATTCGACTCGATTCGATTCGACTCCATACGATTCGAAGCAAGTGCATCTGCATCTGCATCTGCATCGGCATCTGCATGTGCATGTGCATCTTGGTGCAGAGATTGGAGAATACTCGTGGCTATAAAGTGGCAAAAACAGGTTGGGGCACAATTGCACAATCTTCTAGAGCTTCTGTGCGATTGGTGGCTCGTCATCGGCAACGGCACAGAAATTCCAATCACATGAGTTCATACTGGAGTACTGAGTACTGAGTACGAGTACTCGCAGTTGTACTTGTTCTCGGCATGTTCAGTGTTCAGTTTTTTAGGTTCTCAGGCCGCCAGTCAAGTCAAACCAGTTGCCCCATGACTCAGAAAGACACAGAAACACGATGATGAGGGGGCGCAAGGGGGAGTTGCCACTAATTGCATATGCATTTTGCATAATCTCGTAGTAATTACAATAGTTCGATCTTGCGTTTGCCATTCACAAGCCGTTTTCTACCCGTCTCTTTTCGTTGCAGTTGCACTCGTTCATTCATAAAACTTGCCGCAGTCGCAGTCGCTGCCTCTGCTTCGGCTTCCGTCGACGTCGCTGCCGACGTAGACGGCGGCTGATCGGTTCTGGTCTGGCTTATATAGCATAGTGTATAGTACTCATATTATATGCAGCCGACCGCTTTGGCTCTGCACGCTGCACCGCCGACACTTCGCAGTGCATTTCATCACTCTGCTCGGCGTTCTTGTTCGGAATACTCTTTATCGAGGTGGGCATTATGCCTAAATGATATACGAAATGAAGTTATTAATAATGTATCCAAACCATTTAATTGCTTAGTAATCGTGCGAAACTAAAAAAAGTAAGTCAAAGATGTATACCCTACCTAGATATCATAGTCAGGATATATTTTGGCGGTGAAGAAGCTAAAAGTCTAACATATTCTTATACGGAATACTCTTTATCGAGGTGGGCATAAGATGATATCCGAGATGGAGTTAGGTATAATATATTCAAACCCTTAACATGCAATGTAATCATAATCGTGCGAAGCAAGTAAATCAAAGATATATGTCCTACCAGATAGATACTAAACACCTATTTTGGTGATGAAAAAGCTAAAAGATTATACATATCCTTAATTTATGACCAGTGTCTTTATATGCATTTAAAAACATATAGTTATATGCACTTAACAAGAAGTTTTGATTACTGATCAAAAATTGTGGTCCGATAGTTTAAACACTTGTTTGGTGATGGAAAAAGCAAAAAAAAACATATATTTGCAAATTCATTCTTAAAACAAGTATTAAAATTTATATTCAACATTGATCTTTAGGCAAACATGGACTACAAATTTTTAAAACTATGCCTTTAACTTGGAAGCAGTTATTACTGTTGAAAAAGAGTGGATTTAACCAAGCCTGTTGGACTTCAGAAAATTCTTCTCTAATATAAATAAAAGTTGATTATTGTCGGTGTCTTATTGTATTGTTAGACAGAAAGTTCTGTAAATAGAAATCCATCAAATTTCTTACTACCACAGATCGATGTCGGTTTTAAATGTGTTGCATCCCTAAAGCCTTAATGGGAGCTCAGGAAATACAAGTAAAATCAAATAACCCCCTCTTTACTCTCCTCGATCGTAAATCCATCAGCACCTGCGGCATAGATCACCCAGGGTATTCAAATGTGCGGTGCAACGGCGATCTTCGAACCCGTACTTATACCCGTACCATTCCATTCTTGTTTCTTGACACCAATGCACTCTGGCTCTTATCGCACATAATTCATATCTGGTTTCTCGCACTGCAGTTGTGCGTGTGTAATAATCTCCCCTGTTCGGTTTTTTTTTCGGGGTTTCGGTTTTTCGGGCCGTGGCCCACTGATAAACTCCACCCAAGTGAGATGGGTAGGGTATGAAAATTAAATGCCCGATGCAGCTCATTGTTGGCGCCTAATACTTATTGTACATATATTTCAATTTATTAATTTCGTATGCATAAATCTTGTGCTTTATTTATTCAATTTGAGTCTTTGTTGTCTGCTGATCGCTGGCGGTGGCCCTGGACCCACAGTCTCCGCTCTCGAAACGAAAACGACTAAAAAACACAATGCATCTGGCTATTGATGGTGCTGATGGGCATCAGGGGGTTAAGGGGTCGGGGCTGCTGCAAAGGGGTTTAAGGGGGCGGGGCACTATCGTTTGAGCGGCGCACATTCGATCTTTGACTTGTAAATTCTTGGAATGCAGTTAGTGGGGCATTTTAATGGAGGCTGTCGCCCGTCGAATCTTTTGGATTCGGACTCGAATTCGGATGCAAACGAGGTATATTTGCAGCCGAAAAGCTGCAGAATGCCAATTATTGGGGTCAAATTTGATTAAACGTCTAATCGGTGTTACTATTTCCAACTCATGCTGACCGCTATCCACTAATTGAGGCACTTGGAATGTGTCATGGTAGCACTTGTAATATATTTTGGTCGCCTAAAAACTATAATACGAATAATTATTGTTTAATGATTTCAAGAATTACAGTGAAATCAACTAACCTCAATTATTATTTTATGATGCAAGCATTGGGCAGCTCAAATTACTTATAATTATATTGACAACCGTTGAAGTTTTAATTGAAATTGAAGCTCAATCTAATTTTTTATGAGGGTTCTAACCCTCAATTGAACCCAATGATAAATTTACAAGTATTTGACTTGCAAGATTTCAAAATGCTTTTCAATTAATCTTTTAGATATTAAAGGGGAAAAAGGACTGAAGGGAGTTATGTTTTTTTATGAAGTAATCCAAATATTATTTAGTTAGAAGTAAGGAAACTTTAAAATTATTAAAGATTACTGAGTTTAAATTAGTTCCTTAAAATCAATTCAGAAAAAAATCGGAGTAGATAGAGTAGATCAATTTGATACAAGCTTAATAAAAAAATCAATATAAATTAAAGCCACCCTAAATTTACTATTCTCCAAGAAAAAATAAATAAATTGCTGTAGTGAAGAAATCGAATATAAATTGTTTAGTTAAGAGGTAACTTTAATAATAATATGAAGAATATAATAACACCACAACCAGATTTCTATTTTTATTTTTTACTGCCCTATTTTCTTACTGTTTATCAACAATGAAGTTAAAGTAAATCGTTATTATTGATGAAATCGTATGCATTCAAGTTCGAAGCCGATCAAGTTTTCATCGCAAATGGAAAAAATATTATTACAAGGCAGTATTACAAACGAAATCGGCGCCATTCTAGACGGGCGCCATTTTGTATTCGTCTGTCGTATGGATGTTTACAAATATAAATATGGAGATTAATTGCCTATTGATTGATATTTTCACTTCCGATGCCGTGTGTAATTCGAGCAGTGGATTATGCAAATGCAATGGGAGACAAAATGGCCGAAATGATTTTTGGAATTGGAACTAAACACGTCCACAGAAATTTCTACACCTGACAGCCATTTTGTTTTTCGGTCTCTTTCATTGTTGTAGTTTGTTTGTTGTTGTTAATTTTTTTTTATATATTTTTTTCGCTTGAGTTTCGCTCTCGACGAGATTATTGCTAATTTCGGGTGCCTCTTTTGTGTGATAGTGGGGATTTTGCGTGTGTTTGTGTGAGAGGACTGCTGATTTTTTTTGGGGGGAGGGGTGTTGTGTGTGTGGGGTGTTTGAGGGGGTGGGTGACCACGTGATGCGCTCTCAAGTAAGAATTTTGGGTGGGGGTCATTCGTTAAGTCGTCCTACAGCTTCCTTTTACTTAGTTCGGTTTTAGGGCTAAACATATAAGATGGGTGACAACTAAGTGTTATAAGGTTTTTTAAGGTTCCAAGATTTAAACATATATAGGGCGTTAAAATTTTGCAAATATTTTTTTTGCTGCGAGAGTCTTG